TCAAAAACCATTTAGAAACCTCTAGAAATTGTTAATGGATTAATCTAATTGCATGCCAGGGTAAAATGAACTTTGTACAGTGCCTGAGTGTTTACATTTACTTAAGGAATGTTGCATTACCTGGATTTTGCTAACTATGTCACCCTCCAGGACACCTAATTTCTCTTGGGTCACTTTGCCCATGTGGAAGTAAGAATTTGCACAAATGGCCTCCAGTCTGTCTGTTGCTTAACAACTCCGTTTCAAAACTATGTCTTCCTATACCACCTCTGGGTGGAATGATCCATTTCTTACATAGCATAAAGTTTTTCTGCCTCTGAGTAGTTCTTTTTAACTTTCAAGGGTTGCTACCTTATTTATTAGCACTTAGGAATCTGGTCAGTAAATCCAAGTTTAACCTACCCATCCATACTCACTCTGATTTTATAGATTTGGGTAATATTCATTCTCAGTCTTGACTTCCAGACTGACGGGCCTACTTGTCTAGTGGCTGGCCTTCTCTTGGTCACTTGTGACGTTCTTCCTTGGGCTTTCTTCAACTTACCCGTTCATCTGCAATGCAGTATGTAAATCATACATAGGTAAAGAGAGACAAATTTTGTTTTGTTTCTTATAATGGTAAGATGCTCTGCTTAATTTTCAAAACCCTTCCTAATAGTAGCATTTTATAGACACTTTTGATTATGACCATACCCTGGACTGGTAGCTATAGAAATCTTTCTGAGCTTAAATAATATGTAGGAGACCATGATTGCCTTTCCTGAAATACATTTGTGAGAATCACACACATGAACCTACAGAACTTTTTGGCTTTATTTCTAGTCTCCTTTTTTCCTTTTTTTTTTTTTTAAGAGATTTTATCCATTCATTTGAGAGAGAAAGAGAGCACATGAGCAGAAGGGCAGAGGGAGAGGGAGAAGCAGACGCTCCCCTGAGCCCAGCCACAGGGCTCAATCCCAAAGATGACAGGATCATGACCTGAGCAAAGGCAGACGCTTAACCGACTGAGCCACCCAGGTGCCCCTCTAGTCTCCTCTTTATAATGATCAGCATTTCACAAATCACTGTGGCTTCAATAGCCCAGTGAAATGAATATTTTCTCCTAACAGTCTCATAATCATTCATTCATTCAGCAACCTGGTAGCCTTCACTATTTTATCACCATCCTTTTAAACAATGTAGTATTTACTAGAACTGGTCTACTCCATATGTGGCTTCACCAGCACTAGTACTTTCCTGGGTCTAGGGATCGGGTTTATGCTGGTGCCTGTCAGGGCATCAACTAATAACTTACCAGATAAATTTATCAGTAAGAGATAATTCCCTGTAATCTTATTTCTAAGATATAATATTTATTATACAATTGTTTTTTTTATGGTTTACATTAAACACTGAAATGTTTAACAATTTTTTTTCCATTTATCAATGTATCTTGGGTATCAATGTATCAATGGGTATTCTAGAGCCATACTTATGAATTGTAATTAGCGAGCTCCTTGAGAGCGGGGTCTATCTTATTTAAGTATTTATGAAACACAATACACAGATGATACAATTATTGAATGACTACATGGTAATGATTCCTATGTAAATACAGATTACACATTTCAGCCAATACTGAGACAATTTTTCCTTTAAATTTCTATAGAATTCTTTTTTTTTTAAGATTTTTTTTATTTATTTGAGAGAGAGACAGTGAGAGAGAACATGAGCGAGGAGAAGGTCAGAGGGAGAAGCAGACTCCCATGGAGCTGGGAGCCCGATGTGGGACTTGATCCCGGGACTCCGGGATCATGACCTGAGCCGAAGGCAGTCGTCCAACCAACTGAGCCACCCAGGCGTCCCAAATTTCTATAGAATTCTTGGATGCTGTGTGATTTCATTTATATTGCTAATTATATTTATCATTATTCTGTTATACCTACTTCAATAATTTTGTCCGTTATTTTAAAAGAGCAAGTTGAAGCGGAATTGTGTATCTTATTCAGCACGTGGAAGAACGACAGTTAATTGATTCTACTATTACGTTTCCACTCATTGACGTGAACAGCCCAATTAGCTCCCAACAGTACTTCCCCCGCCAGGTTGCATAATTAATACAAATTAAAGTGGTAGTTGGTTATATTCCATGTATGAATACTATGTTTGGTTATATCTGTGTACAGGGAAATTCTAGTTTTGATGAGAGATTTCTTCTCACGATCATATCTAGTGTTTTTGCAGTATCTAAAATAAGTTGATTTAATGTATTTTATCAAAACTTGTCCAAGATCTCACTTGCATTTCCAGCTATGCTTTTGCTGTCCCTAACTACTTATATTAGAAAATAAACATATACCAACAAATCATACATGTCTGTTCTTGTTAATGATTTAGAAAAGCCCTAATTCAAATTGTTTTATACCATTCTGAAGTTAATGTGTAGTAGTCTGTAATCCAAGTTTAAAATATGTTATATTTTAATATTATCTTAATGAATGAGCCAAAGGCAATTAAAAGCCAACTTTGTTTTTTCTGGCTTTTAAGATTTTATTTACTTGAGAGAGAGACAGAGAGAAATAGAGCATGAGCAGGGAGGAGAGGGACAAGGAGACCTCCCGCTGAGAAGGAAGCTCAATGCGGGGCTCAATCCCAGGACCTTGAGATCATGACCAGAGCCAAAGGCAGACGCTTAACCGATTGAGCTACCCAGGCATCCCTTTTTTCTGGCTTTTAATATGTAAACTGATCAAAAGATTTTCATTGGTTTCACATATCTAACATTACAAATCCTTTGCAATATTTCTATCATTGAAATAACATGGATAATGAGTAATTTTCAGTCTAAGGAAAATTGCACTAGTATGAAAATATGGATTTTTGCAATATACAGAATCAAGACATCTGTCTCTTCGGCCAGGAACAAATGTAGGTCTTTGTGTGTTTTATGCCCTATCTAGGTCTGTATTTCCCTACCATGAACTATTTAAGGTATGGGTTTATACCATACTAATATTCTTCATGATGACTTCATGAAGACTTCATGACTTCATTTTTAAATTTCTCCTAGCTCAATGTAATTTTTTTTAATGTATTTAATCTCTACACCCAACATGGGGCTCGAATTCACAATTCCGAGATCAAGAGTTGCATATTCTTCTGACTGAGACAGCCAGGCACCCCATCAATGAAATTTTTTAAGACTTTATTGTTTTGAATAGTTTAGATTTACAGAAGAATTGAGTAGTACAGAATTTCCACATATTCTCTCTCCCAGTTTCTCCCATTATTAACATCTTAAGAGTAGGATACATTTGTTACAATAAATGAATATTGATACTTTATTATTAAAATCCACAGTCTATTCATACATCCTTAGTTTTTACCTAATACCTTTTCTCTCTTCCTGGATGCCATATTACTTGTTATGTCCCCTTGGGCTCAGTTCCTCTTGGGTATGATAGTTTCTCTGACGTTCCCTTTTTTTGATGACCTTGACAGTCTGGAGGAGTACTATTCAAGTATGTTGTAGGATGCCCCTCTACTGGAATTTGTCTGTCTTCCTTAAGATTAGACTGAGGTTATAGGTTTAGGAAGGTAATTTTCCCAAGAGGATTAGATAACTTCGGATTAAAGACACATCAAACTGTTGTCACGGACATGGCACAACCCATGTATCATTTTAGTCCTGTGCCTATTCCATAAGACTAGAGGCAGAAAAGATAGTCTTGAGTAAAGAACAGGATAATTTAAAAAAATTTGGCTTAAAAAAAAATAACTAAGAGGTAGATAACATTATAAAGACAGCAAACAGTAGTCATTTCAATTCGCTTTCCAAAGTAAGCATGTTCTTTACAAATTAAGATTCAGAAAGTCAGACAAAAATGCATAAATAATATCATTCAATTCTGTATCTTCAGAGGTAAATATGGGTTTTACGTAAATAAATTTACTCAAGTATATTTATGTTTTCAAAGCATATTGTCACATTTTCACCTACCAAACAAACAATAAACACTGCAGGATTCTCTTGCCTATGGGTCAAAAATAGTCTTAAATCCTTAGAAAATTTATAGTAGGCAATCACTCTCTCCTAAACAGTGGTTCTCAAACTTTAGCATGTATTACAACACCTGAAAGACTTGTTCACACTTCCTGGGTGCTATCCCCAGCGGTTTCTGATTCAGTGGGTCTGGGGCGGGCCTAAGAATATGCATTTCTAACAAGTTTTTGAGGCGGCTGGTCTGAGGACCCTATGAAAACTACTGCTTAAGAGTCAACAAGGAAACGACATTCTTTAAGTGCCTATGGTGATTCAGGTATTTTACATATATTGCCTTATTTAACCAGTTACAGAATCTTACCAAGCAAGTATGAGTATCCCTTTTATAAATGGTGAACTTGAACTCAGGAATGCTAAAGAACTCAGCTGAGGAGGTAACGGGATTAGAGGGCAAAATCACAATTCAGATTTCTGATTCTAATGCCCATGGTTTTCTAGTACAACATACTTCTCCTTGTTGACAAAGGAGTGAAATATACATGTCCTTGGCTCACTAGCAAAGGAGACTCTACCAGAGTGTGTACAGTGATTAGTTCAGGTCAGTAGGGTATAGAAGAAATCTTTACTGAAGACTTGGCAGAAGCTCAGGGTCATGGAGAGGACTCACTTTCTCTGAACTTCTGAAATAATCAAGGATGAAGTGAATTTAATGTATAATTGACAAAATAGGAAGAACATGTATTTAATATAGTACTAATTAGTTACTATTATTTTATTATTCCTTACAGAAAAACATACATTTAAATAAAAGTTCTTAAAAGAATAATCTCATTTACAATTAAGTTTAAAGCATCATACTATTCTAAATGTCTGCCAGTGTATACTACATTGCCAATCAACCACTACTTACTCTGGTATTGAACTAACACAGCATGACGGTCTTCAACAAAATGCTCTGACAGTTACCAAAACATTCACCTCCTTTCACAAAGCAAATTAAAAGCAATGACATACAAAGTAAGCAATTTAAAGTTTATGAAAAGGGGTACACTTTACTGTAAATAAATCACCAAAAAAGAAGTTGCCAATAATATATTTTCTATCTCTTTGTTATACTCTATATAAAAAAGAACACTCAGACACAAATTAGACTGCAGACTTAAAATAGTTAATGAGGTCTAAATTTCAGAATGAGAAAAACCCACCCAACTCTACATCTCTATTATAAAAACAAATATTTTATGTAAGAAAGATTCCCTTTTAAATATCTATATACATATTTCCACTTAATACTGTTAATCAAACCCATAGTTATATTTATTTAAATAAGAATTAAATAAACTGCCCCAAATGCTGATTTCATCTCACAAAACAGAAGTATTTCAAATCACAACTTCCAGATGGTATCTTGAATACACTGGTTCCTTGAACAACATTAACAAGCATATTTTTAAGAATATATTTTCATCTACAGGTCAGGTAAAGCTTTATTAAATGGTAAACACTCTTAAAAGTGCAGAAACACAAGTTTCAAAAACAAATACATTCAGAAGATCTGCTGTTCAAATAATATTTTTTCAAAACCAGGTGGAGGAGTATGATAAAATTCACTGAACTGGCAATCCAAAATTGCACTGTCATCAACTAAAAGACAGAAAAAGAAAGAAATTAGAAGCTAACACCTTAATTCACAAGAATACATAATTATAAAAGACTATTATCATAATTCCATAATATTAACCGGCAAAAAGAATAAATACACCTGCTGCCCAGATTATAAAACATCATCTTATTGGGTAAAAAGATACACAATAAAAAATTAAATTAAAAACGCTGAAAGGATATACATCAAAATATTACTAATAGATAGTGTGAATGTGAGTACTTTTAATTTTTTCCTTATTTGCCTACCTCTATTTTCTCAATTTTACATATTAAGATGTGTTACTTTTTAAAAATTGTTTTGAAAAATTACAGATTCAGATAAGGTTGCAAAAATAACAGCATTCTCTGTACTCTTCATGCACTTTCCCCTAGTGGTAACATCTTACATTAACCATAGCACCATATCAAAACTGGAAAACTGACATTGATAAAGTACAGTTTAACGAGACTGTAGGCCTTATTTAGCTTCTACATCTTTTTACCAGCATTTATCAAAGAGAAATAAATGCATATAACCAAACAAAGACCTGTACATAATGTTCACAGCAGCTTTATTTGTAATGGCCCCAAATTGGAAACAACTTAAATATCCATTAACAGGCAAAAGGAAAAACATATATTATGATAAAAGCAGACAATAAACCACACATACTACTTGGCAATAAAAATGAATGAATTATTGACACATTCTACAACATGATCAGTCTTAAAATAATTATGCTGAGACACGCCGCACAGAAAAAGAATACAAATTTTATGATTCAGATTATCTGTAGTGACAGAAAGCAGATCAGTGGTTGGTTGGGGCTGGGGTGGAGAAAGTGAGTAGGAAGGATTATAAGGGAACAGGAGGAAATTTTAGGGGTAATGAATATATCCATTATGTTGACTCTGGTAATGACATGAGTATTCATAGCTACTTGTTAAACTGCACACATATATTAAATGCACATCACCAAATATTTTATATTTCATAATAAATGCAGAAAAAAGTTAAGTACTGGATTTGACATTTATGAAAGCAGTAGAGATTTTAACAAAGGTGGTTTCAGTGAAGTGGTGGTAAACGCAGTGAGATGCGGCTGAAGAAAAACTGAACGATACAGTAAGTGGTACTATTAGTACTGCAGCTGGATAAAGAAGGGCAAACATAGGGCTACTGAGGCTAGGAGTTTAGTTGGGATAAGGATGTTTCAGAACATTTACAGGCATTGAAGAGAGATGTTCCTTATGTGACATATAAGTGAAATAAGTGACAAAGTGAAGTCCCAGAGTTCGGGAATTTGAAATCTAGACTGTACAGTGTTTTTGTTTTTGTTTTTTTTTAACATGAAGGATACCACTTCGTCTAAGATGGGACAGAAAGAAGGCAGGATTGGATTTGATTGCAAAAAACTTCAGGAGGGCTGGGGTGAGAAGATGGAGTTCACTATTAACAGCCTGTTTCTTTATAGAGTAGAAGGTAAGGTCATCTGTGGAGATGAGGAGAGAGTTCAAGAAGTATGGTGAAGGTCTGGAATGTGCAGAAATGTAAAAGAATTGCCACAAAGGTTGAGAGCTTAGGTTCTAATAAGGCCTAACTTTGTGATGACACTTTTCTTCAGTGTGATGTAGCTTTTTCTCTCCATAGTATGAGTCGAAGAACTGACAAAATGAATAACTGGATGGATCTAGGATTAGGAATGGGATGGAAGATAAAAGGTAAAGGAATTAAAGTTTATTTTTATGTATGTATGTATATATGTATGTATTTATTTATTAATAATCTCTATACCCAACACGGGGCTTGAACTCACTACCCCTAAGTAAAGACTTGGATGTCCTATTGACTAAGCCAGCCAGGCATCCCTTAACTTTAATTTTTATCTCTGATATTATTAGACCATTAAAATACTTGGCTTAAAGACAATGCATCTGGTGAGTGACTGGTATGTAATGAACTTTTAGAATGAATCTACTTCGAAAAAAATGAATCTGAGCTCTTACTGTGTTTTCTAAAGATAAAAATGTGGAGGCACATACTTGGGAACACATATCATTTGAGGAGATAAACCCTCAAATGATGCATTGCATTTTTTTTTCTGTGAATGTATAAATAATATACAGCAAGACCCACGCCTGTTTTATAACTTGGAATCTGTTCTAAAATCACATGGCAAAATAAAATACAATAAAATGAAATAAAATGAAATAAAAAAAATATTTGGCTTAATTTAACTGATTTATCAATGTCAATTTAGGAAATATACTTTATATAATTTACTGTCTATAACTTTACTACATTAAAAATTATGCTAAATCAAAGAAACAATCTGGAATAAAATTGTATTTGCTATACTCATTTGTATAATTTGATATTTATCTCATTTCTCAGACTAAATTATTTAGAATATTAAGCTACATTTCCATTTAAGTAGATAAAGAAATTATTTTACCCAATATGGCAAAGAAACTAACCAAAATCAAACTTAAAAATGCACTTTTATATGCAAAGATGTGGAAAACCACTGAAAAATAATTTTTGGGAGAAAAGACTAATGAAAACAACTAAAAAGTAAAGCATAAGCTTTAGTTGTTATTATATTATTATTTTTATTTGTTATGTGTATAGTTTTCGGACATCGTAGCCTATCGCACTAACACTGCTACCTTTCTAGTAAATTACTATAAAAATTAATAATTAGTTCTTATAATGGCTTAAATCTAAGAACTTAAAGTAATTAAATGAGAAAATATTTTTAAATTACTAAAACCATAGGCAGAAAAACACAGCTGTTGATTTAAACTTGGTAACATAAAAAATAAAGCAGAATAGAAGGATAAAGACACTGCACTTATTATTTTTTTTAATAAAGAGACACCTTATTTTTTAGAGATACATATAAAATACTTATGAATAAAATGATATAACATCTGCCATTTGCTTCAAAACAATCCCAGGAGGGAAGGTGAAAAACAGAGGAGTATTAGCATTAGGGGATAGATGAGACCTGACAGGCTCCAAGCTGATACCTGTTTGAAGCTGGGTGATGGGTACATGAGGGTTCATTATACCATTCTCTTTACTTCTGTACATGTCTGAATTTTTCTATAATAAAAATTACCATAATTAAATGGTATAGAGTCATCTCTTAAGTAACCCAATTCTTGGGAGAACGCACTTGTACAGAAATTATAGTACATACATATACATAACCACCAGAAGTAAAACTATCAATACGAAACTGTTCTAATTACAATTTCTCTCAGAAGAGTTTTAAAACTTAGGTAACTTTATAGAGATAACTAATGCTCAGTCTATATAAAATTCCCATCCCTGGCTCCAAAATACTCTTTACAATTACTTTTCCTGGTCACCTAAATCTCCCTAATAACTGGAAGAAAGAGCTCTGTAAACTCAGCAAAGCTCTTTGGAACTTTCTAGAATATAAGACTACATGATTAGAAAAGGGAGTATGGTTATTGCATATTTAAGTATAATCACTGTATTTGGAAAAAAATGTTTAATACATGGGGAATAAAAAACTTATTCCTGCAAAGTGGGATTCTAATACCCTACTGAGTACATTCATATAAAAGAGGTCCTTATTAACTTGTCCAGATTTTTGAATGATAGAAAGTTAATGAAAATGTCGAGAAAAAAGTTAACAATCCAATAATAATAGTATTTAGAAATATTTTAGCTTACCATAAACAACTGGATACACTGTCCCTCGTATACCTGATGCTGGACAATGCATATTTTTTCCATTCAAATATACATTTAATTCTACATGGTCATATGTAATACCCTAGGAAGGAAAGAAAATATTAAAAAATAAAATTATAAATGTTCCATAAAAATCTTAAATAGAAAGCACCCACTGAAAAGCATGGAAAAAACTTCATAATTATAATTGTGTCACAACAGCTTTCATTAAGGGTTTACAATTTGATGGAGTTCTGCTTGAACTGAGATTAAAAAAAAAAAATTACTGGTGATTATGTGGGGGAAAGTCAGGTAAAGTTCCAAGAGTTCACATCAGAGTAAAACAAATGAGAACAGTCCGATGCCTAGCATTATATTCAGATAATATGAATTTTATTTTGTGAACATTAAGATAATATAAGTACTGCCTGTCATGTACAGAGAGACCTTTTTTTTTTTTTTTTAAACTTATTTGAGAGAGAGAGAGCAAGTGCACTGTGGGGAGGAGGAGAGGGAGAGAGGGAGAGAGAGAGAGAGAGAGAGAGAGAGAGAGAAGCAGACTCCCCACTGAATGCAGAGCCCGGTGCAGGGCTTGAGGCGTGGCTCCATCTCACAACCCTGAAATCATGACCTGAGCCGAAACCAAGAGTCAGACGCTTAGCTTAACCGAATGAACCACCTGGGCATCCCCAGAGAGACCTTTGAAAATCATACAGAAATCACTGCTCTCTACAGAATTTGATCTTAAGGGGAAAAACAATGAGGTTTTCAGCATTGGGGCTTAATACCTGTCACTGTTATCAAGTTGTGAAGAAGTGTCTTCATAGAACTTATTTCTGAAAAGAAACAGATTTCCATCTCTTTACCTTGCTTTCAAATTCATCAAATGTATTACACCAAGGTAAAGCTAGTGTTTACAATAAAATATAATTGTTAGCTAGTATCAAGTTGAAAAACAGAAAATAGCTCAAAAGAGTTAAAAAAAAAAAAGAATAGACAAGTCTGTATATCTGAAAGTTATTAAAGGTGCAAAAGTCAAAACTAATAATAAAGTTATTATTATTAAAATGCTGGAAAATACTTTGAAAGCCTATATTATGTACCAAGCACTATTCTAAGTACTTCATATTTAGTCCTCACAACAAGATGGGTATTATTATTATTACTATTATCTCCATTTTACAGATGAGGTAGCTAAAGCACAAAAAGATTAAAATAATTTATGTAAGGTTACAGAACTAGGAAGTAGCAGAGCTGGGATTTAAACCCATGCAGTACGGCTTCAGAATACTACTCTATTTGTCATGCCATACTACCTCTCTTTAAAACTTTATGTAACAGTTACTAACTACTGGCAGAAAGTCTTAATTTGAAGAATTAAGAATAGACAGTAGAGCTCTTTCAATAGCGAAATCATCATAAACCAAGAACACCACTCCAAGGATTTCTGACTGTGGATATATTGTATCAACTTTAAAAACTTTTTAGAGGTAGATTAGGACATCTGGGTGGCTCAGTTGGTTAAACATCTGCCTTTGGCTCAGGTCATGATCCCAGGGTCCTAGGATTGAGTCCTGCATCCGGTTCCCTGCTCAGCAAGGAGCCTGCTTCTCTCTCTGCCTGCCTGTACTGCTTATACTTGTACTCCGGTGCTTTCTCCCTCTCTGGTAAATAAATAAAATCTCTGAAAAAAAGGAAAAAGAAAATTTTTAGCGGTAGAAAAAGATCTTATAGATGATCTAGTCTTAACTCCTTCACTTTCTCCTTAAAGCAACAAAGGCACCCAGGCCCAGAAGAGTCAGTGTGTTAAGCACTATAAAAGATTCTCCTGGGGCTCCTGGGTGGCTCAGGTGGTTAAGTCTCTTGCTTTCAGCTCAGGTCATGATCTCATGGGTCCTAGGATCAAGCTCTGCACTCTGCAGGGAGTCTGGCTCTCTCCCTAAAACAAATAAATAAATCTTTTTAAAAACTCTCCTCAAGGGGCGCCTGGGTGGCTCAGTGGGTTAAGCCGCTGCCTTCGGCTCGGGTCGTGATCTCAGGGTCCTGGGATCGAGCCCCGCATCGGGCTCTCTGCTCGGCGGTGAGCCTGCTTCCTCCTCTCTCTCTGCCTGCCTCTCTGCCTGCTTGTGATCTCTCTCTGTCAAATAAATAAATTTAAAAAAAATCTTAAAAAAAAAAAAAAAAAAAACTCTCCTCAAATCTCAGTAAAGCCAGCGTTAAAGAATAATTTTTTAATAGTTAAGAAATATTGAGAAAGACATTGTTTCATTTCAGTTTATGTATTTAAATATAATAAAACTAACTGATGGCTGGGATTAGTTTTTGTAATGAAGAGGCTTTTTTTCATTTAAAAAAACAAAAACAAAATCACACAAAAACAATGTGTCCTCTCTCTATAGGAACCACCTTACGGGGTGTCTAGTGCAGAGCCAAGGTTTGTTATCCGGTCACCCTCCACCAACTAGTGGCAGCATAACCTACTGCAAGCAAGCAGGTATTAAAAGCCCAATTTGCAGCACCATGGCAAAATCAGAGCACTAAAGAAAGAAGTGAGAAAGGATGTAAGAACCCCCAATTCCTACTAGCAAAGTTTAGTTCAAGTATTTCTAACTTAATCTGTCCTTTTATATGATCCAGAAACGGTTTCATTCTGCCACAATGATACCAAAATATCTGACACGTTCAAGGCATTTATCAATAATTGCTTGCATGTTCAGTGAAGAGAATCTGTAATTAAGCTGCCTATATTATACTCCAGGATCCCTCCATAAAAGAAGTTACTTAACTTCTCCTAATCTATGAAATGGTAATAATAATACTATCAATTTTATAGGGTCATTACAGGGATTAAACCAACTAATCCCTGCCAGGCATTTAAAACAGTGCCTGGCCCATAATAAATGTGAGAGAAGTGTTTGCTATGATGATGACGATGATGATGACGATGATGATGATGATGGTGTAGAATGTTAATAAAACTTCTCTGAAATTAAACTGAAAAATGCAATTTTAGACTATAATTTCTACTTCTCAAGACTATGTATAAAAGGAAAAAATAAGCATAACCCAGGTATGCCTTCCTAGTGCTACAGCAGGCCCTGTGAGTACTAAAGGATTACTGCATGAATATAATAATTTGGTCAGATGTTGAAAACTTATTTTTCTTGATTTCTCCTCAGGGAATGGTATATGACTGAAATTCCGCACATATGAGAATGTTTTTCCTGTCTTAAATCCATTCTACTTTTCCTATGCCACTGTCAGCAATTTGGTGAAATTTGTTCTCAAGTGTTTGAACTAGGAATATAAAGGTAATAAGGTAGGGTAATCTTTTATTTTTCTTGACTCTGGATATATTTCATCCTTTTAAAAGTCCTCCTTTTATCAGAATGGATATGAAAACTCAAGTTTAATTTAATAAAGCTAATCATTCTTAAATCTCTCAATTTGTGCTATCAGTTATCTCAATAAATGAGATAGGAAGACAAGAATAACACACATTAGAAGTTCAACAACAAAGAAAAACATTTGTTACTGATTTTCCTTATGTCTGAATTTTATCTTCACGTAAACAGGCTGAGAGCATCGACTTGACTTCAAGACTCTCCTTCAAGAAATATCCATTTGAATAAGGGTGTTCCATATTATGGACATCTGGCAATGATCTACAAATACAAAGCCAACTATTCAAAAAGAACAGGGAAAAGCAGATTTTAAAAATGGTTTATACCTTTTGTCTCCTAAAACAACGTTTTTTTCTTCTCCCCTAAACCTCAATAATTTACCCATTTAAAAACTAGGGGAGCAGGGATGGCTTAGTTGGTTAAGTGTCTGACTCTTGGTTTTGGCTCAGGTCATGATCTCAGTGTCGTGACATCAAGCCCCACGTCGGACTCCATGCTGGGTGTGGAGCCTGCTTAAGATTCTCTCTCTCTCCCTCTCTAAACAAAACAAAACTAAACTAAACTAAATGTTCTTCATAGTTTTTAATTTGCAGAAAAGAAAAGAAAGATCACGGGCATCTGTGTGCCTCGGCTAGTTAAGCATCCGACTTGATTTTTTGCTCAGGTTATGATCTCAGGGTCATGGACTGAACCACCCATCTGACACTATGCTCAGCAGGCAGTCTGCTTGAGGGTCTCTCTCCTCCCTCTCCCCCTCCCTCTAAATAGATAAATAAACCACCACTCTCTTCCTAAAATAAATAAACCTTTAAGAAAAATCAAAAATCTTGGGGTGCCTGGGTGGCTCAGTGGGTTAAGCCTCTGCCTTCGGCTCGGGTCATGATCCCAGGGTCCTGGGATCAGGCCCCACATCGGGCTCTCTGCTCCGTGGGGAGCCTGCTTCCTCCTCTCTCTCTGCCTGCTGCTCTGCCTACTTGTGATCTCTGTCTGTCAAGTAAATAAATAAAATCTTCAAAAAAAAAAGAAAAATAAAAAATCAGAACACAGTTAAAAATCTCAATTTTCACAACTCTCTTCCTTTTCACCAAAATACTGCATTTTTTTCCAATAACCTGGATTTACCCTGTGTCATCTTATTATTAGAAACCTTCCCTCATTATGTAGATTCCTTTCAACTTGGTACCACAGCCAGGAACACAAAGTTTTATGTATAAGGGCATCTTTGCTGAAGGAGATCCTAGGACCCTGTTCTCAATCACTAGCTAATAGCCTGAATCCAGCGTATAAGGTTCTTGGATAATGCCATTTAAGAAGTAACTGGGAGGGGCACCTGGGTGGCTCAGTGGGTTAAAGCCTCTGCCTTCGGCTCAGGTCGTGATCCCAGTGTCCTGGGATTAAGCCCCACTTCGGGCTCTCTGCTCTGCAGGGAGCCTGCTTCCTCCTCTCTCTCTCTCTGCCTGCCTCTCTGCCTACTTGTGATCTCTGTCTGTCAAATAAATAAAATCTTAAAAAAAAAAAAAAAAAGAAGTAACTGGGAGAGCAGAAAGGAATCTCTGGATTACATTTTCAACAGGGTGGTTTTGGCAAAGACTTAAATATATTAGTTGGGAATAAAAATAGAGATGTCTTAATATATGTAACTCTTTCTATCCCCTGCTTTCCAAAAAACTTCTCCAATCAAATCTTAGAATTTTGAGTCCAGTTCTTTGAAGAGTTCTGTAAGTGAAGAAGTTTAATAAGTTTAAGTTTAATGAGGACCATCACTCCTAATAAAATGTTGTAATTCTTTAATAGAAGTTCATAACAAATTAAATACAGGCATACCTTGTTTTACTGCACTAAATAGATAGTGCATTTTTTTACAAATTGAAGGTCTGGGGGCGCCTGGGTGGCTCAGTGGGTTAAGCCTCTGCCTTCGGCTCAGGTCATGATCTCAGGGTCCTGGGATCAAGCCCCACATCGGGCTCTCTGCTCAGCGGAGAGCCTGCCTCCTCCTCTCTCTCTGCCTGCCTCTCTGCCTACTTGTGATCTCTGTCTGTCAAATAAATAAATAAAGTCTTAAAAAAAAAAAAATTGAAAGTCTGTGGCAACCATGTGTTGAACAAGTCTATTGGTGCCATTTTTCCAACAGTGTTTGCTCATATCAAGTCTCTGGGTCACATTTTGGTAGTTCTTGCAATACTTCAAAGTTCTTCATTATTTTTAAGATGACCTGTGTTCAGTGATCTTTCATGTTACTAGTGCAATTACTTTGGTGTGCCACAAACCATGCCCATATAAGATCATCCAATAAATGTGTGGGTTTTAACTGCTCCACTGACTAGGTGTTCCCATCTCTCCCTGGCTCCTCTGGCTTTTTTATTCCCCTAGACACAATATTGAAATTGGGCCAATTAATAACCCTACAATGGCCTCTAAATGTTCAAGGGAAAGGAAATCACATGTCTCTCCCTTTAAAACAAAAGTCCAAAATGATTAAGCTCAGTGAGGAAAGCATGTAGAAAGCCAAGACAGGCCAAAAGCTAGGCCTCTTGCACCAGACAATTAACTGAGTTGTGAATACAAAGGAAAACTTCTTGAAGAAAATTAAAGTGTTACTCCAGTGAATACACAAATAAGAAAGCAAAGCAGACTTACTGCTGATACAGAGAAATTTTGATGGTCTGCTTAGAAGATCAAATCAGCCATAATATTCCCTTAACCCAAAGCCTAATCCAGAACAAGGCCCTAACTCTCTTCAATTTCTATGAAGGCTAAAAGAGGTGAGGAAGCTGCAGAAACAAAACAAAACTGGAAGCTAGCAGAAGCGGGTTCACGAGGTTTAAGGAAAGAGGCCATTCCCATAACACAAAAGCCACAAGGTGAAGCAGCAAGTTATCCAGATCTAATCAAGTGAAGGTGGCTACGCTGAAAAACAGATTTTCAGTGTGGACAAAAATAGCCCTATCCTAGAAAAAGATGCCATCTAGGATTTTCAGAGCTAGATTCTAGAAGTCAATGCCTGGCTTCAAAGCTTCAAAGGACAGGCTGACTCTCATTAGGGGCTATGTAGCTGGTGACTTTAAGCTGAAGCCAACGCTCATTGACCATTCCAAAAACCCTAGGGCCCTTAAGAATGATGTTAAATCCACTTTGTGTGCTCTATAAATGGAACAATAAAGCCTGGACAACAGCACATCTGTTTACAACACGGTTTACTGAGCATTTTAAGCCCACAGTTGAGACCTACTGCTCCAGAAAAAGGACTTTTTTCAAAATATGACTGTTCACTGACAATGCATCTATCTGTTCACCCAAAAGCTCTGATAGAGATATACAACGAGATTAATGCTGTTTTCATGCCTGCTAACACAGCATCCATTCTGTAGCCCAGGGATCAGGAGTAATTTCAACTTTCAAGTCTTAATTACTTAATTACTTAAGTTTCATAAGGCTCTAGCTGCCATACATAGTGCTTCTTCTGAAGGATCTCAGCAAAGTAGACTGAAAATCTTCTGAAAAGGATTTACCATCTAGATGCCCTTAAGAACATTCATGATTCAGGGCGCCTGGGTGGCTCAGTCAGTTAAACATCCAACTCTTGGTCTCAGCTCAGGTCTTGATTTGCGGGGTTATGAGTTCAAGACCCATGTTGGGTTCCATGCTGGGCATGGACCCTACTTAAGAAAAAAAAGGAATATTTATGATTCATGGGAAGAAGTCAAAATTTCAACATTAACAGGAGTCTCAAAGAAGTTGATTCAACCCTCACGAATGACTTTGAGGGTTTCAAGACCTCAGTAGAGGCATGAACTGCAGAGGTGGTGGAAACAGCAAGAGAACTAGAATTAGAAATGGAGCCTGAAGATGTGTCTGAATTGCTGCAATCTCATGAGAAAACTTTAGTGCATGAAGAGGTGCTTCTTGTGAATGAGCAAAGAAAGTGGTTTCTTGGGATGGAATCTACTCCTGGTGAAGATGCTGTGAAGACTGTTGAAATGACAGCAAAGGATTTAAAATATTATATAAACTTAGTTGATGAGGGAGCAGCAGGGTTTGACAGAACTGACTCTAATTTTGAAAGAAGTTCTACTTCAGGCAAAATGCTATCAAAGAGCATCATATGCCACAGAGAAATTGTTAATGAAAAGAGGAGTCAATCTTTGCAGCAAAATGCACTGTTGTCTTCTTTTAAGAAATTGTGAGGGCCACCCTAACCTTCAGCAACCACCATCCTGCTCAGTCAGGAGCCATCAACATTCAGGCAAGACCCTCCATCAGCAAGATTATGACGCACTAAAAGTTCAGATGATGGTCAGCATTTTTTAGCAATAGAATATTTTAAAATTAAGGTACATCCATTTTTTTAAACATAATGCTATGTACACTTGAAAGACTACAATGCAGTGTAAACATATACATTCACTGGGAAACCAAAAACCTAATTTGACTTGCTTTACTGCAATATTTGCTTTATTGCAGTGGTCTGGAAACAAACAACAGTATGTCCGAAGTATACCTGCAATAAATGTAAAAATTTTCTCTAAGAGATATTTAGCTGCAAAAATACCTAATATTTTCTAATATGAATGTCAGCAAAGTTTCAAAATTATGGGCCAAGATTTCTCTGATGTGAGAGAAGCAAGAAATGCTGATAAGCAGCCAACCTGTCAAAATTCTCCTGAATGGGAATAAGGGCTTATACCGATTTTCCTGGCCAGCAACAGCTCTAGAAAGGAGAGTAGTTAGGTAAGGTAGCAGAATCTACACCAAGTGCTCTCTTTGGAATATGCACCACCTCATTAGATCCAATCCCAGTGCCTCAGAATTCAAACCACAAACTCCCAGGCAAAACTATATACACTAAAAGCAGTTTAACTTTAATAATTTACAGTGGAAAACAACTCCACAGTAAACTTACCACCACATCTCCCTCCTGTGGAAGACTGTTTGCTGGCAGCCTATTTTTCTCCTCGTTGTTGTGGTATAAGGCTCCATCATTCCTCATCACCAGACTATGCACATCTCGGCCAAGAGGAATCTGATTCAAGTTAACTTTCTGAGTTGCAACGCCAATACCCCATATTCCTAAAAAAATAATAGTTTAAATGCCCCCAAAATCTGAAGAATACAAATATGAAAGAAGGGGTTGTTTTTAAGAGTGTAAGTTGTTTTTAAAAGAAATCGTGTACTATCACTAAACTATTTTTTATTAATATTTTAAAAACAAATCTTTTAAAAGTAGTTTGCGAACTACACTATGTTCTCTACAGATGCAGTACAATGTAGGAGATAAGAGTGGGTTCTGGGGGTGCCTGGATGGCTCAGTGGGTTGAACCTCTGCCTTCAGCTCAGGTCATGATCCCAAGGTCCTGGGATCGAGCCCCACATCAGGCTCTCTGCTCAGTGGGGAGCCTGCTTCCTCCTCTCTCTCTGCCTGCCTCTCTGCCTACTTGTGATCTCAGTCTATCCAATAAATAAATAAAATCTTTAAAAAAAAAAAAAAGAGTGGGTTCTGAAGCTGTATAGCCTAGGTTAAACTCTGGCTTAACTAGGTGATCTGGGGCAAGGTATTTAACCTGTCTCTGCTTCCTCACCCGTGAACGTGGGGTTCTAACAGTACTTACTTCAAATGGTTATTAAAAGATATAGCAAGGTCACTAATACTTGGAACAGTGTAAGTATTCCCCCCAAAATTGGTTAAGCAGAGCGTTTTTTAAAAAGATATTAGCGATTATCATTATTATTCTCTAAAAGACATTTTGAAAAAGCACATAATTAAATGGTCTATGGTTCTAGTCAAGCACTACCTCAGAGAAGTGGGAAATCAGTCTTTAGTTTTTGCATCTATAATGTGTGACAAATAACATAGATCTGGTCAATACCACAAAGAGGAGAAAATTAATGATGAAGTATAAAATTATTTTCTAAAGGAAAAGTGAATTGGGGGAAATCAGAGGGGGACACGAACCACAAGACTGTGGACTCTGAGAAACAAACTGAGGGTTTTGAAGGGGAGGCAGGGGAGGGATTAGGTGAGCTTGGTGGTGGGTACTAAGGAAGGCATGTATTGCATGGAGCACTGGGTGTGGTGCATAAACAATGAATCTTGGAACACTGAAAAAATAAAATTAAATTAAAAAAAAAAAAAGAAAAGAAAAAACATTTTCTTACCCGTGCCTTAAATCAGTGAGTTTTTAAAACCTTTTGGTCTAAGCTGATTTTAAGCAGGCAGCTCTCCTCTTAACCTGCCAAACAGAATACCTAGAGCTCTGGATTTTGTTTCAAACTGTTTCCTTCTCAGTTTTTATCAAAATCAGTTAGGAGAAAATTTATAAATGGAAGGTTTGAACATCATGTTGCCAATCAATTTTTCTGAATTAAGCAAAACTATCAGAAAGTTGCATTCTGGATATCACTGTCTGGGCTTCCTAAATAATCTTACAACATAATTTATCCTCCAGAGTGGGAAAATTTTAAGAGTGACAGAAGGGGATAGTACTAATTTCATGAAACAACAGTTCTAGACAGGGTTACAGAGTCTCCTTACTCCTAAAGAACTGTGCATGCTGTGATACACTTTGACATAACTGCCTCAAGCTTTCACTGAGAGATCAACTTACAAATTCCAACAATATATTTATTTGAGAGACATCACTGAGAATGCCATCCTTTACAGAAAATCCACATAAAAATTTGTCCTGGATTTAAGGATCAAGAAAGTATTTGCTTCTCTTGAGAAAAGGTAGGCTGTACTTGAGAAGATTTTAGCTACCAGAGACATTTTGCAGCTAACTTATAAAAGAATGAAATGGAAGACAGTTTCATATCTATTCCATATACTTAAGAAAATCAGTATTTTAAATTAATTTAGAAAACAAGCCCCAGAAGGATGTTTTATATCAATCAAGCTTGTTGACTAAGAGTATGATTTACTTCCCTTTAGTTTTCCTATTCTACACCTATACTTAAATTATTCATGCTCTATTTCACTAGAAGTTTTTTTTTATAACAAAGCTTTAAAAATACATTTCCCCACATTCAATCCAGCTACAAATTAACTAATTGCTATTCTAACACTCAAGCAGAACTGTTGTAGGATTCAAAAAAACTCTGTAAATTTTTTAACGAGAAATACAGACATCAGAATTCTAAATGTGCTAACTGCTTCAGAAGACGACGAATTTGGGTATTTTAACAAGAGTTATGAGAAAACATCCAGGATAAGATTGGTTTTATCCTAAGATAAAATAGCAAGAATCTACACCTTTAATGCTTGGCCAAATGAAATGGAGCATCTAACGGCCCTTCATAACGCTAGTGTCTTACACTGATCGTGTAAAACGCACTCATAAGTATAACCAATATGAAGGAGGAAAGGCAGTTCTTGTAACCCCATTTTATAGATAGCAAAATTGAACCTAAAATAACTCAATAACTAAATTAACTACTTTAGCCAGGATCACACATGCGGAAAAAAGTTCTTCCAAATAAGTTTGGTGCTTTTCTATTGCCTCGTTAATCTTTTTCACACACGAAAAATTGCTCTTAATATTTAATTAGTACTTTTAATAGTAAAGGACCATTATACCAACCTGTGGACTGGATTTTGAATTCAAAGTAGCTTTTGTTTTGATGTAAAGGGGCACTGGCTAAACAGCCTCCCGTTCCACATATTCTTCTTCCATTTTTTACAATGACAACATCTGTTCCTAAACAAAAAATGCAGAGACCGTGTAAAGTTTTTTATTTTCTTATCCAACAATCAAGGTCAATTTGTTTCACTTCTCTTAGTCAAAAAATAGCGATGCTGTATTTACTTTGAAATACAGAAATGCTGATAAAAACAATTTTTAGTTCACTATTTTTTCCCCTGAGAATGTTTATATTTAATATTCATTTGTGGCTAGAAATCTTGTTTAGAAACGCAATTTAGTAGTAATTCTGTAGGAGGAGCACCACAGGCGCTCCCCTCGCCTGGGGACAGCTGACGAGTCTCGGGAGGCGGCTGCTCCGAGATTCCAGTGAAAATGGGTGGGTAGGTGCACACAACCAGCTCCCGATGACAGGAGCAGACAGGGCTGCGTAGCCTTGAACACAGAACAGGGCCGAGGTGCAGCCGGCCGGCGTCTGAGAGAGATCCGCGAGACAAAACGGGGTCGAGGGCAGCACCTCAGAACGAGGAGCGGGGGGCGGCGCCCGGAGGGGCAGGGCCGCGCGTGGTTCCTCCGATCTCGCACTGCCCGCGACCCGCCGCGCCACACCCGGCGGGGGCCGTTGGGTCTGGGGAAGGGAGGGCGCTTACCCATGTGCTGCGTGTCCAGCTGCACCGCCGGCATCTCCTTCAGAGGGATGTGTCCCGTCCCGCCGTCCCTGCAGCACCGCAGGCAGCAGAACACCGAGGCGGCCATGGCGCCAAGACCACCGACTCCGACGCCGCTCGCAAGCCGCCGCCTCTAGACCGCGGCGACTCCGCCCCCACGCCTCCGCTCCGCCTCCCGCCCCCGCCCGAGCGCCAGAGTCTGTGTGGAGCGCGCAGACCGAGACAGCGACGCCCCACGCCGGGAGGGCGCAATGCAGGCAGAGGTGTATCCGACCCGGATGGAAGATGTAGAGGCTGAGGCGGGGAGGGGCGGGGCCCTGGAGGGCGGGGCTAGAGGCGGAGCGGGGCGGAGGGCGTGACGTGCGGGCGGGTCGAGGACCTCGTTCTCTGGTGCGCGGGTCCTTTTTCTCCTGGCGAGTGTTCACGACCGAGTTCTCACGTTGAGCAGTTCGTAGGGAGTCGGCACTCTTCGGACACTGAGTAGTCGTAGAATGCTGAGTTTGAAAAACTGTTCCCCCCCCAACCTTGACATTACCTTTAGGGATGAATTGACAGAAGCAAGTCATGCTGGGGGAGTGAGAGCTGGTAAAGGACCCTGAGGTTTTCCACAACGCCCACCACCGTGCGCCCAGGGCTGAGAGAACTTTGCCTCCACCAAAAGCCTCTGTCCGCCACCGTGGCTGGTTTCTGAAGAATTTCCTCAAATTCTAAATAGACGCACAGGCCCCGAGAGTAATGGCTGTTAGTGATTTCACCGTGAATGCGCACCTGAGGTTCTAAGTCGGCCCTGGTACATCTTAGGTGCATGGATGCGCGTTGCGTGGCCCTCCAAGCCGCGCAGTTGAGGAAGGCCAGGAGGCCCTGCGGGGCGGTGGGGGGGGGATACCAGTGTGGCGGGGCGGGAGGGCGATGCTCGATCCGCCTCTGCCAAGCTAACCGTCCCGGTGGACTGGGGGTTTCGAGGAGTGTGGAGGGAACTCCGGAGGCAACGAGGAGGTCGTCCGGCCTCCCGAGGGAAGCCCTCATTTCCTGCCGCCTGCTCCTCTTTGCTTCCAAGTAGGAGGCCCACAGTGTGGTCACCTGTCATCTCCTCCCCTACTTAGATCATCTGTCCCTGGTCGATTTTATTTAATACACCTTGGGGCCCGGAGATGGTCTTCGGTGACCTCTAGAATTAGGCTGGCTCAAACCTTTATTCCCAAATAAGGCTTCGCCCGGGTTCAGGTCCTGGGAAACCGACGCAAGACACCCACTTAATGTGTAATGGGTTTTCTACACATAACATTCTGGTGACCTCAGTGTAAATCTCCTTAATGGAGGATTTTCCCCCCCGACAGAATAAGAGAATTTTTTCAGGGTCCTGGATCTTTGCTGTCTATACAAATAGTGTTTTCATTAAAACCTCCAAGTTCTGTACTTTATTTATTTAGTTACCAGAGAATTAATAACTAAGGTGATTTTTGAAGTGACTGAGGGTAGACTCTCTCGCTGCCTATAAAGTACTTTCTTGGTGATCATTTTACACATGACATTTTTTTTTACTGAAAACCTCAACCTTTATTCTGAGAGTTCAGTTAGTGTTCGGTTCTCTTTCCGCTGGGAGGGAAGGGGAAATTGAATAGAAGGTGGAGAGACAAAATTTCCTGTCGTTCCATGAAGTGGGCACTCTTTGACGTATGTATCTAATCAAATTCTTCGAAATTTTAGGGTGTATATTGTCCTCATTTTAGAGATGAAGAAATAGAGGTAGAGGGATTATATAACTGATGTAGCCTCAGCCGACTAGGAAATAAACAAGGTAGGATGCCTAAGCCTGTATTTGCTCCACCAGATCATGCTGCCTCTCAAATTCCAGAGATTTAACTCTTGTGATAAATGCTGAGCTTCTTTTAAAAGTGCTTTCAATTCAAAATTCAGATTTGTACTTTATTTTTGTATGTTTCATTAATCTCCATATTGGCTATCAGCTGCCATAACTCATGTACAGACAATAACATAAAATAGCAGTTGTTAAAAGGTAAAATATTTATTCAGAAATATTATTAAAAGCAGTACCTGTATTTAATATATAATAAATAATTAGGCCATTCAAGTCACTCACATCTTCAGTGAAAAGCTGGACTATGAGATGGCGTGCCTTCGCCATTACTGTAGAAGCAGAACTGCCACAGTCTTTCCTGGCTAGAAGAGTAATCTGTTGGGCTACAGCCCAGTGCACTTTGCCCCCAATGTAGCAACTCCAGTGCACTCAGCAGTATCAAGCAAGCAAAACCAGTTAGCTCCTAAAACAGACTTCCCTGTCTTGGCATGTGAATGCCATCCATGAGCTCACAGACCTTATCCTTCTTATATCTGGGATTCTATTAACCTTTCATTATTATTTTCAAAGGAATTATCTTTTCTTTTTGAAAAGCACAATGTTAAAGATATTTTGACAGTCTTTCACAGCTATCACTTTAAATAACAATCACAAATAAAGCCTGCAAAAAGTTTCCCAATAGTTAGTTAGAAGGTCGTTTATCTAAGTCAAAAGCAATAAGAGAGAATGACTACTTGGGAAAAAAAAAAAAAGTCAGCCTCAGCGACATGCCAGGAACTTGAGAACTGATAGGACAATAATGTAAAGCATGTGTTTCCGAGTTGAGTTTAACATCATGCTCAAAATTTTCTTTAATGGTTTTTATGCCAACCAGACATCTCCTGTTAGTGAACTTTACACTCTGTACTGGGTCACACAAAATGGTTTCTTTTTTAAAAATTCATTAATCAGTTATTAAGCCAAACTTTTTTCTTAGGGTAATCCAGACCACATTTGTGATCTTTCAAAAAATCAGAAACATTAAAAAAACCTTATACTTCTAAAAAACTAAAAATATTCCTGCGGCCTTGATCTATTCATTATTATAATTTTGAGTTATAGTAACTGACATTTATGTGCTGCTTACCATTGCCAGGCAAAAATAAGTGCTTTTTATAAACTATTTTAATCCCTGTATCAACCCCATGAGGTAAAAGTATCCTCTGCTGTCCACTGGAGGAAGCTGAGGCAAAGAAAAGATAAGGAAGGTGCCCAAGGGGTGCCTTGGTGGCTCAGTTGGTTAAGCAGACAACTCTTGATTTCTGCTCAGGTCGTGATCTTAGGGTCTTGGGATCAAGCCCGGCATTGGGTTCCATGCTCAGTGCCGAGTCTGCTTGAGAATCTCTCACTCCCCCTCCCCCTGCTTCTATCTCTGCTCCTGCCTTCTTGAATGCATGTTCTCTTTTTTAATTAAAACAAAGCAAAATAAAACAAAACTTAAAGAGAAAAGAAGGAAGGAAGGAAAGAAGGTGCCCAAAGTCACACAATCAAGTGATGAAGCTGCATTCAAACCCAGGTTCTAGGGTGTTTGTTTGTTTCTTAAGATTTATTTATTTATTTATTTATTTATTTATTTATTTATTTAAGGGAGAGTGAGAGAGAGAGAGAGAGAGAGAGAGAGAACACACTCCGGGTGGGGAGGGGCAGAGGGAGAGGGGAGAGAATCCCAAGCAGATTCCACACTGAGTGTGGAGCCAAAGGCGGGGCTTGATCCCAGGACCCTGAAATCACTACCTGAGCGGAAAGGAAGAGTTGGAAGCTTAACCCACTCCACCACCCAGGTGCCCGCCAGGGTCTTTGTTCTTAACCCCTATGTAAACTGCCTCCCTAGAGTACTACATTTAAGAATAGATTCCTAATTTTTATTTACAATCTCTTCCCTTATCTCAGAAGCTGATATTTAAATTCAGCTGGTGTTAATTGCACTCCTTTAATCCGGATTTACTGAATTCTAAAGTAACTTACCTATATTCAACAACAAAAGATAACACTGAAAACCTTCTTCTGGAACAGCTTCCCTTTGTTAGCAACACATTCCAGTGTTTTGTAAGGGTGTCCTTCATAGATAGGGTGTCTCTAAATGATCCAAAGAAAAGCGTAGTTAGTACTTACAATTGCTAAATCAGGTAAGCCAAGCTGGAGACTGGGAAAAGATAGAGATCTGTAGTAGAAGGAAAGAGAAGATGGGGTAAAGTAAAGGAATTTGATAAAGATACAGAAAAATAAGAATAATAGAGGATAAAGCAGAATAATTTTTAGTATTGAAGAGGAAGAAAAAGAAGCCAATAGCAAGTGCTCTATAAATGAGAACTTAGGGAATAAAAAATGTGATTTGCCAAGAACTTTCAACCTGGAAGGAGGGTGCCTTCATCTGCTTCCCTTCTGGAGAAGGTAAAGCAGACTGTTATAAACTGAGGGGAATTCTGTGATTTCTCCCCAACCTCAGCTTCTCTTATTCAAAGTGCGGGTATCCTAATGTACTTATACATACTATACATACCTTTCCTTATCACTTTAAATCCTAGGTACAACGGCTGCAATAATTAGAAGAAAGATATATTGAAGATTTAAAAAAAAGAAGGAAGAAAGACAAAGGGCAATCTTGAGGTAGGTTTTGCCTTCCCAGAAGTTAAGGAAAATGAGAATAAGTAGTTAGTCCTGGGATCTACATTCCTTGTCTAGTAGTACAGAGGGTACTTAAACCAGTCACTTTTCTCCAAGGAGGTGATGATAAGTGTTTTGTGCAAAGTTTCTATGGCCAAAGATCAGGCTACATACAGAATCTGATGTTATAGGAAGGAGGTTGCCAAAACACTTAGTTGGCTGGGTCAAATACTTCAGTAAATGTTTCTCAAAGCATTTCAAACATTCAAATGATTCTGTCTTGGGACTGCAGTAAGGCTTGGGAACAAGAAGTCACCATCTCCAAATTATGAAACCAAAAGGCACTGGACATTTGCAGGAGGATCAAACAGAGAAAAAAATTACTTCTAGTTATATGTAATAGCTGTAAAAAAAACAAAATTATCTCACTGAAATTTTGAGAAAGATCTGAAAATATTCTAGGAACAAGGAAGGGAAAATAATTATTAGTTAAGATTTACCTAACATTACTAATTTAAGATATATACAACTTCACATAGTGTCTATGGCTTTATTTTTGCAAGTGTAGAAATATTTATAAAGTTTTTCATAAGGTTTTACCTACAGTTACAATCCCTCTTAACCTATTTCCTCAGTAGTGGTTCTGCACATTAATGGTCCAAATGCAGGCATTCTCAGAACCTTGATTTTTGTGTTGAGAAGGAACTGTTATCTTTCCTTCCATTTAAACATGAGTGTCTGTGAATGTAGATGTGGTTCTGGGTAGGCCTAATTTCAGTTTGGGCCATAACTGCTAGGCCATAAACTTTGCAGATCCTGGAAACTGAGTTACAGGGAACGTGAGACTATTTAAAATTTCTGGTAAAAGTTACTGGTAAAACTCTGGAATATTTGAAAACTGCTTTAAAAAAAAAACTCACTGTGAAATAAATGATTTTGAAATACCAACCGTGAGAGTTAGCTCCAAGGTTATGTTATGGCCAAGAGAACTTCAGTATAGGAAAATGGAACTGCTAAGAATTAAGCATATAAAAATACCATTTTCCCCTCTGATTTTGGCTGTTCCAAACTTTTATTTTATTTTTTTTAAGTAGGCACCACAGTGTAGAGCCCAACACAGGGCCTGAACTCACACCCCGAGAGCAAGACCTAAGCAGAGATCATGAGTTGGATACTCAACCAACTGAGCCATCCACGTGCCTCGCTATTCCAAACCTTTAACCAAACCTTTAAAAATGATTCTATATCTTTTCTTTTAAACTTCCTGTTTGTATGTATCATGTCTAATATCTAACTCAGATCTCTGTTCATGCCAAACACTTAAAATATTCTATAAAAAGAGATATAAAGCTTTGGAAAGGAAATTTAAAAAGTTAGGAAGAGACTCAAATTTTCCCAAAATATCAGAAAAAAATAGTAAAATCCCACTTTATGTGTTCTTAATTCATCAGCATTCTATAAATGTTTGAAAGAACAGCAAATGAATAAAAGCCCTTAAAATAAATACATGTAATATAATTACACTTCCTCTAAAAACCAGAAAGTAGTGTATGTAAACTGAGTTCTTAGAAGCAGATATCTACATTAACTGCACTAAAGCAGGTTGTTGTATAAAGAAAATCTATATACAGAATTTTAAAAATAATAACAGCTTGGGGCGCCTGGGTGGCTCAGTGGGTTAAAGCCTCTGCCTTCAGCTCAGGTCATGGTTCCAGTGTCCTGGGATCGAGCCCCGCATCGGGCTCTCTGCTCAGCGGGGAACCTGCTTCCTCCTCTCTCTCTCTGCCTGCCTCTCTGCCTACTTGTGATCTCTATCTGTCAAATAAATAAATAAAATCTTTAAAAAAAATAACAGCTTTATTGAGCTGTTATAAATATTTATATTTGTAATACATATATTCTTATGTGAATTATGACAATGCCAACCATTTAAAGTATATAATTCAATGATTTTTAGTATATTCATTGAATTGTGCAACCATTATCATCACCTCAAAAAGAAACCCCTTAGTTGGGGTGCCTGGGTGGCTCAGTGGGTTAAAGCCTCTGCCTTCAGCTCGGGTCATGATCCCACTGAGATCGAGCCCCCATTGGACTCTCTACTCCGCAGGGAGCCTGCTTCCTCCCCTCTATCTCTCTGCCTGCCTCTCTGCCTACTTGTGATCTCTCTCTCTCTCTGTCAAACAAATAAAATCTTAAAAAAAAAAAAAAAAAGAAACCCCTTAGTAATCACTCCCTATTCTGCTGCCACCACCCCCCCAGCCCCTGGCAATCACTAATCTACTTTCTGAATCTAGGAGTTTGCCTATTCTGGACATTTCATATAAATGGAATTATGCAATATATGGTCTTTTTATCTGGCTTCTTTCACTTAGCATGATGTTTTCCAAGTTCATCCATGTTGTAGCGCGTATTAGTACTTCATTCTGTTTTGTGGTCAAATAATGTTCTGCTGCAATACCTATATTGTATTTTGTTTATCCATGCATCAGTCAATGGACATTTGGGTTTTTTCCATTTTTTTACTATTATGGATAATATTGCTATGAACATTTGTGTACAGGTTTTTTTTTAGTGAACATGTGGTTATATACCTAGGAATGGAATTACTGGGTTACCTTGTAACTCTTTGTTTAAAGGTTTGAATAACTGCCAAACTGTTTTGCAAAGTGCCTGCATCAATTTACAACCCCAGCAATGTACAAGTTCTCCATGTCCTCACCAATACTTGTTATCATCTGTACTTTTTAATTTAGCTATCCTGTGAGGTATGAAATCGGATCTCAATATAGTTTTGATCTGCATTTCCTTAATGATCTGTGATGCTGAGCTTCTTTTCCTGTGTGGTTTTTTGTTTTGTTTTGTTTTTTTTTTGTTTTTGCAATTTGTGTATCTTCTTTGGACTAATCCTATTCAAATCCTTTGCCCATTTTTAAATTGGGTTACTGATCTTTTTTGTTCTGGAGTTATAAAAGTTCTTATATATTCTGGGTACAAGTCCTTTGCCAGATTATATAATTTGCAAATAATTTCTCCCATTCCATACATTGTCTTTTCACACTCTTTTTTGTTTTAAGATTTTATTTTTTTAAGTAATCTCTACACCCAATATGGGGTTCAAACCCACAACCCAGACATCAAGAGTTACACACTTCACAGACTGAGCTAACCAGTCTTTTCACATTTTTGATGGTTTCCTTTGAAGCACAATAATTAATTTTGACAAACCCATTTTATTTATTTTTTTCTTTTGTCACTGTGCTTTTGGTGTTATATCTAAGAAACCACTGTCTAATGCAAGGTCAGAGATATTTACTCCTGTATTTTTTCTATAGTTGTATACTTTCAGCACCTACATTTAGGTGTTCGATACATTCTAAGTTAATTTTTCTGCATAATGTGAAGTAGGTGTTCAACTCATTTTTTAGTACAGACATCCAGATGTCCTCCACAAGCGTGAAGAGGGTCATTCTTTCCCTATGGAACTGTCTTGGCATCCTCATTGAAAATTACGTAGGAATTTTTATAACTCAGATAACAAAGATTTTATCTGACTACAAAGAATAGTCATGTTGGCTTAATCTTAATTGATACGGGTAGTCAGAAAGCAGGTACCAAGATCTTTTAAATACCTGTGTACACGTTTCAAACATACTCGTAAAGATTACCAGAAGTTTTTGTATCAACTGTTCATTTTATAGTTACTTCTATAAAAGTGAGTAGCAAAACCACATTCCCTCATGGATGCTTTAGGCAGACCTCCAGTGTGTCAATCTTTATCTTTCCCACCCCATCTCTCCTCATCAGTTCTCTGGGTGCAACATCCTGGTTTGGGTCTGTACTAGGAACTCTTCCTTTCACCATTGGTCCTCATCCTCATCAGACCTTATGCTTCCTTCTTACATGACTAATACTTTGTCCACTTTACTCTTCTGAAATGTAACTCATAGATATTACAATGTATCTACATAGATAATTTCAGAAAACCAGTATAATGCCCTGATGATTAATTAAAGGGGCATGCATTCACTTGTTTGTGCTTAACAATATCTTGGAGATCATATGCTTTGATACAATCAGAGAATAGTGCCTGGACTGAGAACAAAAATTAGTACAAAAGCCTACAAAGAAGTTGTATGGTACTCTTCTCAGGATAGTTTTAGATTAAGAGTGAAAAACAAGTCCAATAAGAACCTCCAAATAAATAAATAATTTCAATGAAAATGTTCTTATCATGACACTAAAAATTAAATATATATTAAATTAAATATATATTATGTATGTAATGATGGTAGTATAAGATGAAATTCAATAAAATCCTTGCACAGTATCTCAACTAATTGTGTACTATTCGCTTTGAGCCTAATAATATGATTCTGTAACCTTTTCTGTTATGTGTTTGCAGTTGGTTTTCTTGGTTTTGCAGTAATTGTGCTAGTGTACTGGGTCCCTTTTCAACTAGCTATATGGTTAGTAGTACTTTCCAAGAAAGTAGGTATGAGCATTTTAGTTGGATCTAGAAGCCTGTGTAGTTAAACTGATTAGATTGCTCTTTGGCCTCAAAATCTTTATGTTTTCTTTTGTTACTTTTTTATTATGTTTTATTAATTTCTGTTAAGTGGGCTAACGAGGTCCACATTCATTTCAAATGTACAAATAATCCAATTCAGTGCTTCAAATTAGAAAAAAAATCATCTTTTAAAATGATAGCCAAGTGAGAGCAATATATTTCCAAATCAGTATCATTAAGCATATTTCTATCTATTAATTGCAAGGATGAAA